CGAACGGCTCAGGTGGCGCGGTTTTGGAGCCTCGAGAAATTGCTGCGACTGCTGCGTCGTCGCCGTTGTCGTCTCGTGCTGCGCTCCGGCGAGTCGAGTTACTCGCTCGAACTGGTTTCGCCACGCTTCGCGATCCGCTCGCATTTCCTCCTGAAGGGCTGCGATGCGCGCGAAGAGCTGCTGGGTAACCTCGGTGTTGTCGAAGGTTGCCATCCTGTTCAAAACACGCACGGAGGGGGTAATTCGAAAATCGCGGAGCTGGTGCTTACCAGAATCGGCGTCGAATTGGTCGCCCCCGGCGGTTTTTCGAGGCAGGATCCCCGGAACTGGAGCGGAGAGTCTGTGGTCTACAGGCAAAGGGGTGGGCGGTGCAGACGAGAACTGAAGGCCGAACCTCTGAAGGACCTGGCGCACCAAGTGTGACTCAGTCAAAGTGATGGTGCGCGCTGCTCTATCCATGGAGATCTGCAAACCAAGGTAACGGCGCAGCTCTCCAAGGTCAGTGCAAGTGTGTCTCTTCAGCAGCTCTGCCTTCACGGAGGCCAGTGCGTCCCTGTCTGCTGTGGCAAAGACCAGATCATCCAAGTAAACGAGGATGTAGAACGGAGTCTGGCCAGCATGAACGAAGAGTGCCGCTGATGATATCAGCTGTGTTGGCACCGGAGGCCAAGTGTACTACGCGAGCCTGGCGGCGCTGCTGTAGCTCACGCAGGAGGAAGTACCGCAGCTGGATATGCTTCGCTCTGCCCTCGAGTCGAGGCTCCTGACACAGGAGGCTCATGGCCCTGTTGTCAGCGTACAAGACCGGGGCACAGATAGGCCGCTCACCTAAGTCAGTGAGCAAGAAGGTCAGCCAGCGGAGCTCCTGTGCCGCCATGGCAGCGGCGTAGATCTCGGCCTCACAGTTGGACTGGGCAACAGACGAGGAGCGGGTAGCTCTCCACGAGACGGCACCTTAACCAAGGCTGAAGCAGTAGCCCTGGGAAGACCTGAGGGTCTCGGCATCGTCTGCCCAAGAAGCGTCAGAGTGTCCAGTAAGGACCACTGGCCTGCGTCCTCCTAGCACTAACCCCATGCCCGATGTACTCGCGAGATAACGCAGAACCCTCTTAGCGGCCGACCAGTGCTGCGGTCGGTGTCTGCCTATGGCCACAAAGCAAGCCAGGATGCTGAGAGGGTATGCGAGATCTGGGCGAGTGCAAGTCGTTAGGTACATGAGGCAACCCACCAGCTCTGCGTAGGGACCACTGGGCTGTCCTGACTCCTCAGGAACTGGAGCGGAGAGTCTGTGGTCTACAGGTAGAGGGGTGGGCTGTGCGGAGGAGAACTGAAGGCCGAACCTCTGAAGGTCCTGGCGCACCAAGTGTGACTAAGTCAAAGTGATGGTATGCGCTGCTCTATCCCTGGAGATCTGCAAACCAAGGTAACGGCGCAGTTCTCCAAGGTCAGTGCAAGTGTGTCTCTTCAGCAGCTCTGCCTTCACCAAGGCCAGTGCGTCCCTGTCTGCTGTGGCAAAGACCAGATCATCCACGTAAACAAGGATGTAGAATGTAGTCTGGCCAGCACAAACGAAGAGTGAGGGGTCTGCGGAGGACGGAAAGAACTGCAGGTCAGCAAGCGTAGCACGCAGCGTGTCGTGCCACTCACGGGGAGCCTGCCGCAGGCCGTAGACGGGACGCCACAGGAGCCACTAGGTCCCAGGAGGGAAGGTGCCAGTGAAAGCCCTGAGGGCGACACAGGTAGACCTGCTCGTGTAGGCTGCCCTGAAGGAAGGCAGTGGAGAAGTCGAGGGAGTGAAGCTCGTAGTCACGCTGAGCAGCTAGGTGTAACAGAACCCGAAGAGTAGTCATTTTTCGGGGTCGGAGCGAAGGTCTGGAAGAAGTCCACCCCCTCACGATAACTGAAGCCTCTAGCGACGTAGCGTGCCTTGAACACAGGCGGCTCTCCAGGAGGGCGCTTCACCTTGAAGAGCCAGCGGCCATCGACTACGTTCACCCCAGACGGGGGAACTGCGCCGACGAAGGCGCCGGTGGATCTCCAAGATGCCATCTTCGGCTCCATGGCAGCTATCTGTTAGAATTAAGGACGGAGTCTAGGTGAACTTAGGAGCTAGAATTACTCAAAATATATATCCGAAATTCTGGACAGAAAAGTCGTCTTCACAAGAAACGACGTCGACAAAAACCTAGCCGTTGGAATGTCGCGAAACTTGGATATGTTGTAGCTCTTAATCTCAGCTACCGTTCCCAATTTGAATCACGTTGATTGATGAAGTATTCGCGACGCTATGGCTTTCGACGCACTAGGGGGTAAGCTGTAGGAGGAGAACTTAACTCAATCTCAAGAGTTCAATGAAAGTTCAAGAATCTCACAAGGAATTAGAGGAGCAAGAGAAATGTTGGGATAGAAGAGAGGGATGAGAGGGAAGGTCCCAAGAGAGTCCTCAACCAAGGAAACCCCATAAGCACAAAGATTCCCTCCCTATAGGAACCCCAACTTTGACATTTGTCCCTTCCCAACCAATCCATCCAAGTTGGCCACCCTTGCCAACCTAGCTTGGTTGTTCCCAACCAATTTGCAGCTGTTACAGTGAGTGACAAATTTCCCCAACCCCCAAAGGTCCCAACTCCATATAGAGTCACCCCACAACTTCACTTTGTAACCGCCGCAATTGTAACGCAAGCTCATGAACTTTGAATCTTCATAGCTTTCGCGTTCTTGCTCCGATTGAAGGGATTCTCGTTGCGTCGGAAAGATCTTCTCAAGATCTATCATCACAAAAAACCTGCTCAAACAAAATAACACAAAACACATTCCCAAACTCCAGAACACATCACACACAAATTCTTGCACACGTTCAAACCACACATGCAAGTTGAAAAAAATATGGGATGGGAGGCAGACAGAATGTGATAGCATATGATGACATCACACAACAATCTCCCCCTCTGGCTGCCAACCATCATCCACCATACCAACATCTCAAGCATGCATACTCAATGCACACTCATCCCAGCAAGCTTCATGCCCTTCCAATGATCCGCCTCCGCCAGACGCTTGGTGAAAATATCTGCTGCCTGCTGATGGGTCTTCACTATCTCCAGCCGCACCTCCTTATCAAGGAGTCTCCTCACCCAGTGCCACTTAGGCCTTATGTGTTTTGTCAGCCCATGCAGACAAGCATTCTTGGCGAGCTTCACAGCAGACTCATTGTCACAGAACACAACTGTCGGCTCCTCCTGACCAACTCCCAACTCCTCTAACAAGCGCATCAGCCACACCACTTCCTTGGCCCCATGGTGTAAGGCCATGTACTCAGTCTCACATGAGGACAATCCCACCTCATTCTGCTTCTTGCTGCGCCAGCTCACAGCACCACCTCCTAGCAAGCACACATAACCCCCAATGCTGGTGCCATCCGCTTTCACTGAGTTGAAGCTAGCGCCAGTATAGCAACTCAAGAGCATCTCTCCACTCTTCACATCTGCAGCACCTCTCTGCAACCGCTGCCTCACTCCACTGTACTCCAATCCCACTGATGCCGTAGCGCTCACATAGCGGACCAACCTCTTGGCCGCTTCCAGCTGCTCATGACTAGGGCGTGAGACCACACTAGCCAATCGTGATGTAGCAAATGCAATGTCAGGCCGTGTATGATTTGCAGCAATATTCAGCGACCCAACCATCGAATGAAACAGCTTCCTGTCACTATCACCCACTACCTCCTCATCAGCACATGGCTCCACAGTGAACCCGAAGGTAGTGGTGTTGCTGGCTTTCCCCCATCTTGCAGCCCATACTTCTCAGCCAGCCCCTCACAGTACTTCCTCTGGTGCAACCTCAGCACACCCTTTTCCACATCTCTCTCCACGTGCATCCCCAAGTAGTACTTCACCTCACCCATCTTGGAGCACTTGAACTGCATCTCCAGCATCTGCTCTGCGCTGTCCAGCAAAGCAGTGGATGCAGAAAAGAGAAGGATATCATCCACATACACCAAGAGCATGAGGATTTCATCCTTCTCCTGCAGCAGGAACAGGCTGGGGTCACACTCACTCTTCTTGAAACCCCCAGCCAACAGCGCCTCCTCCAACTTGTGATACCATGCACGAGGCGCCTGCTTAAGGCCATAGATGGCCTTCTTCAGCCTGCAGACCCTGCCGCTCCCGTCATCCAGCCCCTCTGGCTGCTTCATGTACACCTCCTCCATAATGATCCCATTCAGAAAGGCAGTCACAATATCCATCTGCCGAATCTTCCATCCCAGGAGTGCAGCTATCGCCAACAGCACCCTCAGTGTTGTTCCTTTCCCCACAGGAGCAAACACCTCATCATAGTCCTTCCCCTTTGTCTGCTGAAACCCCCGTGCCACAAGCCTAGACTTGTAGCGGGTCAGCTCCCCTTCAGGTCCATACTTGTGCCTGTAGATCATCTTGGAAGTGATTGCCTTCTTTCCAGGAGGCAAGTCACACAGGTCCCATGTCTCGTTCTCAATTAGGGACCCGAACTCCTCATCCTCACTCGCCTTCCACTTCTCCCCATTTGGTCCATTCAAGGCCTCTTCTCGAGTCTTGGGCTCAGGGATTGGTGCCCAGTAGCAGTGAGCGATCTCATCTTCCTCAATCTGCTCAACCACACTCCCAGCCTGCACCACATTCGGCTTGCCTCTTCCCCCATAGGTCAGCCTCACTGGAGGGCGCACATCCCTCCTAGGACGCTCAGGCGGGTGTGGAACTCGAGGTGGAGACTCATGCTGCTGCTGCTGCTGCTGCTCTACTTCAGCTGCTCCCCCTTCCTCAGTCACCCCAGACATCTCCTCCTCTGACACTGCAACCTCCACCTGTCTTGAAGGCTGCTGCAACTCATCTGCCTCCACAATGAGTGGTGTAGATGGAAGCTTCTGTTGCTGCTGCTTCCATTCCTTATAGTACAGGGACTCAAGAAACTTCACATCCCTTGACACTGTCAGCTTCTGGGTGGTCAGGTCCCATAGCAGCCACCCCTTGTGATCCTTTGCAATCCCCAAGTGCACACCCCATCTTCCAGAAGCCTCCAACTTCCCCCTTTTCTCCTTGGGCACATGAAACACCACCATGCACCCAAATGCCCTCAGCATGTTCACCGCTGGAGCACTCCCATACCACTTGGCATATGGGATCCACTCCTTATCTCCAACTGTAGCCAGCACCCTATTCTTCACAAGGGCGACCTGCCTCAGTGCAGACACCCAAAACGGATCAGGCAGCCCTGCACGCCCAAGGAGAGTGCGTGCCCCCTCCTGCAAGGTCCTGTTGAACCTCTCAGCCACGCCATTCTGCTGCGGGTTGTAGGGCACTGTCAGTTGATGCTGGATCCCCTTCCTCTTCAACTCCCCCTCAAAATCAGCTCCAATGAACTCCCCACCATTGTCACTACGGATCACCTTCACCTTGTGTCCGCATTCCCTCTGAGCTCTCGGCATCCACTCCTTAAGGACAGCCGCTGCCACCTCCCCCTTGCTCTTCAAAGGGTAAACCCACACTGCCCAAGTGTGGTCATCCACAATTGTCAAGAAATAGCGGCTGCCTGAGAGGGAAGGGGCTCTTGTGGGCCCCACCACATCCATGTGCACAAGTGCAAGTGGGGTCTTGGATGGTCCAGTTGCACTGTTGAAGGGGAACTTGGAGAACTTGGTCTCCAAGCATGTAGGGCAGCTCCCAATCTCCTTCACTTCCCCTTTCACCTCCAAGCCCTTCAGGCTCCCATTCTTCACCAACTTCTGCAGCATAGGGAAGTTCACATGACACAGCCTCTCATGCCATGTCTCCCAATCGGCCTCTCCACTCCTTGATGAAGCCTTAGCCCATGCCGCACTCGCATCCACACCAGCAAGCACCTCACCATGTGTCTGCTGCTGCTGCACTTTCTTGACTGCTTCCAGGACCCCATCAGTTGGTGCAGTTGCATCTCCTCCTGCTGTTGCCTTTGCCGCTGCTGCCGTTGCTGCTGTTGGAGTCTTCCCATTCCAAGGGATGATGGGCAGCTGCCACAGGTCCTTGATGCAGCTGGTCTCCTCTTCCAGACTCCACAGCACCTTCTTCCCAAGCTTAGCACGGCAGCTGGTTGGTCCAAAGGTCACTTCGGCCTTACTCTTCTGCAGTCGCCGCACAGAGAGAAGGTTAGCAGACAAACCTTCAACTAGCAGAACATTCCCAAGCCCCACAAGCTCCCCATTAGCTCCCTTAACCTTGGCATTTCCAACACCAATGACAGGGAGCAAAGCACCTGACGCTGCTGCCACATACTTGATCTTCCCAGGGGGTTTTACCTCATCAAGCAAATCTGCCCGTGGGGTCATGTGACTGGTGCAACCCGAATCAATCACCCAGTGCGTGAGAGGGTGCATCACAACCTTTCCCACAGATCCCACATCACCCTCATGCCCATGCACATCCTCAACCATAACAAACAAACCAGGATAGGCATTACCTTGTGCACCTTCACCTTGTGCACCTGAGCCTTGCACAGCGCCACCTTGTGCGCGTTCACCACTGGGCGGCTTCATGCCTGGAGGTGCCCATCCCTCCAGCCTGCTGAAGCACTTGAACCAAGGATGCCCAACCTTCTTGCAGTACCAGCACGTGCCCTCCATTCTGGTACTCCCCCTGCCACTAGAGCTCCCATGCCCCTCATTATAGTCACCTCGGCCTCTACCTCTGCCAAAGCTCCTCCCACGGCCTCGGCCTTTCCAACCCCCTCTTCCTCTGCCGCGCCCTGCAGCTCCATACCCCTCAGCAGTCTTAGTGGCAGCACCGCCTCCCACATGGCGTCTGCGGAAGTCCTCCTGCAGAATCTGCTGCCTTAGCCACTCAGGTGTCCATTGATCTTGCTGAGAGTTGAGGGTGGGGATGAGGTTATCCCACGAGTTGTCCAACACCGAGATGATCTTGGTGCACTGCTGCAGCTGAGATACACTGCTGCCCGCTGCTGCCATCCTTGCATAGGTGTCCTTGATCTTGTCAAGGACCGGCTTCACATCGTCCCCTGGTCGCATGGAGATGGCAGCAAGTTCCTTCTCGAGCACGATCACCATCGGGAGAGTGTTGGGCTGAACCACATCACGTAGTAGTTTCCACGCCCTTGGACCCGAATCATCCGCTTCCACAAGATCCTTGATGTGCTCGAACATCTCCTTGTTGACCGATTGAAGAATGAGGTCGAAAAGCACCGCGCTTTTCTCAATCCACCGTTCACGTGCTTCGCCTTCTTCCGGCATCTTCTCTTCCCCAACAGCAATCTTCAGTAGCTTGTAGCGTTTGAAGGCACTCCTCATCCGTCCGCTCCATTCCTCATAGTTGGAGCCATCCAAAGCTTCAACCTTTGATGGCGGCGGCTCACTTGTCTTCTCAGGTACAGCTCCTCTTCCATTAGCATCTCCTCCTCTCTCATTCATCTTCTCCTTGAGAAATGACGAATTTCAGCTCCCCTTTGCTGTCCACACTCAGCTCCCTCGATATTTTCACAAGTGTCGGCGTCCACGAAATTTCGGCAGAGTTTCCCCTTAGCGGAAGACACATCCAACCTTTAGAACACCACTTAGGCACACCCACAGGCCATGGTGGGTCTAGAAGGGTCTTCAAACTTCTGTAGACTCCTCTCAATGTCCTTAATATTGCTCTGATACCACTTGTTAGAATTAAGGACGGAGTCTAGGTGAACTTAGGAGCTAGAATTACTCAAAATATATATCCGAAATTCTGGACAGAAAAGTCGTCTTCACAAGAAACGACGTCGACAAAAACCTAGCCGTTGGAATGTCGCGAAACTTGGATATGTTGTAGCTCTTAATCTCAGCTACCGTTCCCAATTTGAATCACGTTGATTGATGAAGTATTCGCGACGCTATGGCTTTCGACGCACTAGGGGGTAAGCTGTAGGAGGAGAACTTAACTCAATCTCAAGAGTTCAATGAAAGTTCAAGAATCTCACAAGGAATTAGAGGAGCAAGAGAAATGTTGGGATAGAAGAGAGGGATGAGAGGGAAGGTCCCAAGAGAGTCCTCAACCAAGGAAACCCCATAAGCACAAAGATTCCCTCCCTATAGGAACCCCAACTTTGACATTTGTCCCTTCCCAACCAATCCATCCAAGTTGGCCACCCTTGCCAACCTAGCTTGGTTGTTCCCAACCAATTTGCAGCTGTTACAGTGAGTGACAAATTTCCCCAACCCCCAAAGGTCCCAACTCCATATAGAGTCACCCCACAACTTCACTTTGTAACCGCCGCAATTGTAACGCAAGCTCATGAACTTTGAATCTTCATAGCTTTCGCGTTCTTGCTCCGATTGAAGGGATTCTCGTTGCGTCGGAAAGATCTTCTCAAGATCTATCATCACAAAAAACCTGCTCAAACAAAATAACACAAAACACATTCCCAAACTCCAGAACACATCACACACAAATTCTTGCACACGTTCAAACCACACATGCAAGTTGAAAAAAATATGGGATGGGAGGCAGACAGAATGTGATAGCATATGATGACATCACACAACACTATCTACTGGGAGGCCCAGGATCCCGAGGTCGCCTCAGCGTAAGTGCGAGGGGTCGGGATGTCGAAAGCGTTTGGGTCACCCTTAGGGACTAGCAGCATGGAACAGAGATGGGGAGCAGCCTCGGACAGGAAAGCAAGCTCGAACTGGCGGTCCTCCAGGACGTCACTGCTGAGGGCAGGAGCACCCCCAACAGACGGAG